TTCTTAGGTGTGGATTTAATTTATGCTTCTCATGACAGGGTGAGGGTTGTGTGAGTGTTATCTTTTATCAAGTCTGGAAAATCGCTCGTCTGTTTTAAACTCCTTCTGGAACTTCTATTAGTAATTTGGGCATTTTCATTTTATCTGCCATGTCTGTTAACTTCGCTCTCAGGTTTTTCATTTCTTTACATCTCTGTGATTTATTGTAGACTCTTTTAGTTCACAAATTCTCCCTTCAGGTACATCTAATCTACTATTAATCTACTAACTTTTTACAAAGAAGGGGGCAGGCCAAGTGGCGCATTGATTAAGAGTTGGCTTGGGATGCCGGCTCTGAGCAGCGGGGCCCTGGTTCGGATCCCACATAAGGGCCAGTGACGCTGTGCCCTCTGCAGCTAAGATGGTGAACAACAGCTCGACCTGGAGCTGGGCTGCCGTGAGTCACTGGCAACGGCGTAGGCTGCAGTGGGGCTGGCTGGCAGTGGGCATGAGCTTTCGTGAGCTGCCGTGAGCCACGATGAGCAGCCGTCCAATGGCTGGTGAGCGACTGCCTCACCCAGGAAGAGCACAATGATAATAACCAACATGGGCCAGTGAAGCGACGTCCTCCAAAGCTAGACTGAAGAGTAAAGGGACGGCAACTTGTCTGTTCCCCTTCCCCGATTCCCTAACACTGTTCCCCTCTCCCCAATTCCCCAATAAAATCTTTAAAAAAATAAAAAATAAAAAAATAAAAAGGAGGGATGATTTTGGTAAAATAGAACATGTACAGAAAAAGTACATAAAACACAAAGGTACAACTAAATATTTTAACGTGAATGTCTAAGTAACAATCACCCAGATCTAGAAATAGAGAATTTCCAGCTTTCTCAGAAGCATTTTATGTGTCCCGTCACAGTCACAAACTGCTCTTTCCTCTCAAAGTTACCACTGTCCTGACTTTATTAAATATGTCCTTGCATCAGTAAACACATACGTATGGACCTGCCTTCGTTGGCTTACCGTTTTGTTTCTGAGATGCCTCTGGATTGTTGCGCGTAACTGTAGGTCATTCGTGTTCATTGCTGCCATGTCTAATGTCAGGTTCCCAACATTTTGGCAACCCTCCATCCTTTTTATTTCTATGTCATTGTGTGATTTCATTTATATAAAGAACAAAACAGACAAAAGTATAGAGTTTTATATGAAGGCACCCAAATTATATGAAAGGTTAATGACGTGCATTTTCAGGATCCAAATTTTACTTATGGCTGAATAAAGAAGCAAAATACAGAATAATACATATAATATGATCCCATGAACACAAAGACATATCTTTGCACTTGGGCAACTAGACACATGCACATATTTATCTATTCAAATAATCCTAGAATTCTCGAAGGACCACGCTGTTACCAATGGTTACCTCTGATATGTGGGAAAGGGGCCGAGTGCAGGAGGTTAGGAAGGTCTGTTGGTAGGAGGAGCTATGCGGGCAGATAGCTTTCTGTTTTACTTCTTCCTTTATTTGTTTATGTTTTACAATAAGCATTGTTTTCTTAAACAACATGAGTGCGAGTCATATTATCAGAAGAAGAAAGGAATGAGGATTTGCTTTGGGGTGCAGCAGGCTCCCCTCCAGGCTCTCTTCTGTACCTGGTGGCCGCCATGACCCTCTAGAGCCAACCCAAGGTGGTTCAAATCCTCACTTCTGTTTCAGACACTTTAATGGTTGGTTTTCAGCCCATGGAAACATGCCTTTCAAAGGCAGTGCCCAAATTTAAGGCAACACATCAATTGTAAGCAGTTCTAAGGTTCTGGCTCCTGGCCCCTTGAGACTGTGTGGGGTGCAGTGCAAGTCCAGAGCAAAAGGAAAATACAACCATTATCCCATGTACCTGAGAACCAGCTAGATCCCTGAACTTCTCATCTGCCCAAGAGAGGGAGTCAGGGAGGAGGCCGAGGGAGGCAAGGGGAGGTCATTCCTGTCCACAGGGAGCCCTGCAGTGACCAGAGGTTTCCCTTCAGGCTTCAACTCACTGACCCCCAGTCACATCCTAGCAGCCTGCTTCTCAAGTGGCATCCACTGCAAAAACGTCTGTTCCTGTTAAGAGTGATAGTTACATGAAGCCTAATAACGATCGAATGCCTGTTATGTACTGTCCACCGCTGTGCTCAGTACAACCCAATACAGGGACTTCTATTCTTGCCCCCATCTTACGGGCGCAGAAACAGGCCCACAGGTGAGACATGACTTGCTTGACAGCTAACAGTGGCAGTTAGAACCCATCCCACCCAGTCTGACTCCCCAGCCTGCTCCCTTAACCTCTAAACGCTAAGGCAGGGCACCATGATTAGGTGACTCCAGAGTGGGCATTGGCTTAGCCACCCTGCGCAATAAAGAGACATCCACTTGAATCGGACACAGTCCCATTGGGCTCTGTCCCTGGACAAGCCACTTCCCACTTTTGAACCTGGATATCCACATCTGTATAATAGGCAATACCTTTCTCTTCGGGTTATACTGAAAATTAAAAATAGGATTTATAGAGAATCTACTACCAGCCTGAGCACTGAGGCACCCAATAAAAAAAGCAGCTATCACCATCATCACCACCACCACCATCATCACTTGCACTGAGAGGCATTGCTTTCTCTCCCCTTCCTAGTGAGTCCCGAACTACTCCTGCTGAGGACTAGGACAAGTTCTACCTCCGAGCCTGCTCAGAACGGTGGGCAGGAGGTGGGAAGGGGTCTTTGTAAGTGCCCCACTTTGCATCCGCCCTCCTGTCTGTGGACCCTGAACTTGCGCACTTAATGCAGCCCAAGCCAGAGGAGCATTTTTCAGAAACAGCGTCAGACTGAGAGAGCCAACTGCAGCTGAATCCACCCCCCAGGCCAGGCCTCCCTCCAGAACGGTGCCCAGTCTCTCCATCCCCATGCTCACCTCCCTAGTCCAGACCTGTGCCTTCAAGTCTTCCTGCCTTACTCTCCAATCTGTGCCCCACATAGCAGCCATCGAGACCCCTCACTCCCTGGCTTAAGAACGTCGTCCATCTTCTCAGTACAGCCCACCGCACCCTGGCCCCCTAAGGAGTCACCAACTCCTCTGACATAGCCATCTCCCTTCTCCAGAATGCCCTGCACCTATGACCTGCACTTTCCCAGCACTCGCGGGTTGACTCACCAGGAATGCCCTCCCCATCATGCCCGCTTCCCTCGATGGACTCGTATGCCTCCGAGGTCCCACTCAAATCCTCTGGGAAGCTTCCTGGAATCCCACCCCACACCCAGGGCTAGAGACCCCCCTCCTCTGCCTCACGGCACTTTGTTCCTCAGTTGTCAATTAGTGTACTTCAGGGAAAATTAAGATAATTTACTGCTTTACAAATCTGTCTTCCCTGCTGTCTTTTCCTACTCTAGGCCAGGGCCTGGGCCCCCTCCCTGTCACAGTGTCTAGCACATAGTAGGTACTGAGTAAATGTGTAGAGCATGAATAGATAAAGACCAGCTGCATCTCAGTAAAAGGAAAAACTTTCTAAGCATCACATGTAAAGACTACTGAACTTTGTGACCTTTGAGGCCATTTGCGATAAGTTTTGTGTGTGAAGGCCCTTCATATACTGTGAAGTGCTGTTCACAAGTCTTGGCTCCAGATGTTCCCCGAAGTCTGAGATCGGGGAATTGAAGATTCAGGCTGGGGCTACAGCTCCTCGGACTCTGGGAGGTTGCGGACCCAGCCCTGGGCCACTCTGTTGAAGTTAGGTCTGAGGCGGAGGAGTTCCAAGCCGCTGACAAGCTCCGGGACGAAGAGGGTGCCTGCCCTGGGCATGGTGTCCCCCACCAGGGGTCCTCCAAAGGGCACTGGGGTCCTGGGGAAAGAAAAGCAGCAGGAGAGGTGGGTGGTATGGGACAGGGATGGCAGAATACTGACATATGGGTCGCCGTGTGGGACCCCGTTCCTGCCTCTCTCTGGGACTCAGTTTCCCCTTCTGTACAGCAAGGTTTTGTACTATCTTTGACAGGCTTCTTCAGCTGTGCATCTGCTCAGGATAGCTTGTTGTTTAGAAACTGGAGTGAAATTTTCAGAGTTAGAATTGGCTTATCCTAGGCAAAACTCTAGATTCTCCATAAGTTAAGTTCCAAGAGGGAGTAGAGTTGGAATAGAGTTTTTCCGTCCTCTTGTTATCTCCCCTTAGAACAATATACTGCAAACCAGAGAGAAAAGGGAGGGTTACAAAGAGCATGGACAATCAGGGAGGTGCAGATTACAACACACATGCCATTTCTCATCCATAAGACTGGCAAGAAGAAATAATGCGATAATGGGCAAAGTTTCACTCAAAGCCTGCTGTTTGGAGGGTACACTGGTGCTGCTCCCTTGAAGGAAAAGGTGGCAGGATCCTTTTAACCTGAAAATGTGCAACCTGTCAACCAGCAATTCCACCTGTCAACATGTGGCTTAGGGAAGTACGTGCGTGTATTCACAAGGGAGCAGATATGAGCTAGGATTAGTGATAAACCAGAAACAACCCATTGTCCATTGGCAGAGGAATGGACACAGCAAATGTATATTCAAAGGATGGAATATTATGCAGCAGCTTAAAAAGGAAAAAATCTATATGGATTAAGTAAGGTAGGCTTTAAAAGCATAATATTGAGTTGAAAAAAGCAATCAGGTTACAGAAAGAAATGCAAAGTATTAAAGCACACACCCAGATACACAAAACAATGCTGCATCCCCTATAGATACGGAGCTGCCCATGGAAAACATTCTGAAAACCTACACACCAACCTGACAAGAGAGTTACCTTTGGAAAGGGAGCTGAGATTGAGGACCATGAACAAAGGAACCCTACCTTTATCTGCAGTTGCCTAGTTTTGTTTGTTTTAAGAGAATATTAAGTATACGGTTTTAAAACTTTTACATTTTATGAAAAATGAAAGGCATGGCTCATGTCATGTTTACCCCACAGCCTGGGACCAATGGGAAATGAGGGTGCTTGCCTTGGGGTAGAAAGGCGAATCTTGGGCCAGGGCCTGGGTTCCTGCCTGGACCACCCCAGCTTTGGCGACAACAGGCAGGCCCGTGAGAACAGGCTCGGCAGTTTCCAAGCCCAGCAAGCCTCAGAGTTGGGCCCTTGATTGACCACAGCTTGGCCACCGACACGGCTGTTCCTCCTCAGCCTGCCTCAGTTCACCCTTCTGCCACAGAAGGGCTCTGGGCTCCCTAAGCCCCTAAGCCCCTCCTTCTGCTGGTGGGAACATGCCTCAGCCTGTCGTACCTGAGGTGGAAGATGGGTGGGACTGTGACCCGAGCTGGCTGCCAGGACTAAATGTCTCCTGAGGGTTTTAAACAGCTGAGCAGGAAGGGTCTGAGGGCCCCAGTAGGTGAGGGGGCACAGGCCTGCCCAGTGGTAAGCCCCAATGGCTCATGGCTCACACAGTGCCGAATGGGTGCAATTCTCTCCGCCGGGGCCCCCCGTGGCTATCAGCTGTGTGAGGGCAGCCATGTCCCTCCTGAACAGTCTTTTCTCAAGGCCCATCATCCCCAGTCCTTCAGCCCTTCCTCAGGAGGCCTGGGCTCCAGGCCCTGGCGACCATCCTTCTGTCTTTGTCAGATAGACACAGTCTCCACGTGTGGTCTGAGCAGGTGCCAGGAGAGCTGGCCTGTGGCCTCCTCTCTGTGGACCCGGCACTTCCACACTTAATGCAGCCCAAGCCAGGGGAGCATTTTTCAGAAATAGCATCAGACTGAGGAAGCCAACTGCAGTGGAAACCCAACCCCCAGGCCCAGGCCTTCCTCCAAGTGCCAAGCTCCTGTCTTGACTCCTGTGATTTGTTTTCTGGTCCCTTGGGCAGGATGTTAAATTTATCCCTTTCAAGTCTCCCCTAGTAGCTTTTCTAACCATCACCATCATTTCCGCCTGTAAATAATAATAATAATAATAATAATAATAGCAGCTACTGTTTATTAAGAGCTTATTACTTGCCAGAAACGTTGCCTATGGCTTCTTATGCCATCCTCACAACAACCTTGGGAAGTAGGTGCTGTAATAGTTTCATTTTACGGATGGGGAAATGGAGGCTCAGAGAGGTGAAGTGACTTCCCCTAAGGTCACATAGCCTCGTAAGGAGCCTGCATGTCAGCCCACGTTGAGGCCCCACGCTCTAAACAGCAGGAACCACTCCTCTGTGGCTCTCACCTCTGGTGTCCTGAGTTTCACTGCCACTCCCCACTTTGGTACAGCCTCAAAGCCACTTTCTAGGCCTCTTCCAGGCCAGTGAGGAAAGGCTGAGCTAGTCTAGGACTGGTGAGATCTGAGGCCCCCACCCAGGAACGGACAGACGTGCACCGCAATGTCCATCAAAGAGGTGGCACACAGCAATGATAGAGAACAAGAAACCTAGCCGTGGAGTCAGACAAACCCGGACTCGGACCCCAGCCCTGCCGCTGCTTCCTGGCTTTGAGACGCTGGGCAGGTTGTTGATAATCCTGAGTGGTCTCTTCACCAGCAGAATAAGAAAAATTGTACCACCTGCGCCATCCAATTGTGGGGAGGACCCAACAAGATGTGTGTCACATGCACCCACTTATTCCCTGTACATTTATTGAGCACCTACAATGCGCTGAGGCAAGAGTTTTATTAATCTAGCAAGAGTTCACTAAACGTATATGAAGTGGTCAGATCGAGCCTGTCATGTAGAAAGTGCTCAGGAAACGCAGCCATTGCTGTGGCTGTGACTGCCTCCTGCACACCCTGCACCCTCCGGCTCCATCCCCAAGCTGCAAGCTGTCCGCCGCTGCCTTACTTGTTGAAATTTCGGTACTCAGCAGGGCTAGGGGTGTGGCTGCGGACGTCGCTCTGGTAGTCCCGGTAGTTGACGAACTCCTGCCACGGGCTGCGGTAGCCCTTGGGGATGACCGTGTGGTTGAACTTCTCCGGCGGGACGCTCTTGAGGGGCTCGGCATAGCCTGGAGGTGGAGCAGGGCGCGTGGGAGGTGGGCGGGAAGGGGCCTGGGTTCCCTTATCGCTCGGCCCCCCTCCCACGTCCACCCTTGGGATGCGGTTGGGGGAGGGAAGACTGGCGCTGGGAAAGGGGAGTAGGGGTGGGGGTGACGCCAAACGTTGCACTAGCAGAGGACCCTTGCCCATCCCTGGAAACAAGGAGGACTAGAGCCGAGGAATCACAAGTTGGAACACAGATTCTGGTCTTGGCTGGAGTTCGGGCTCGCTGTGTGACCTGGGTCGAGTTGCTGCTCCTCCTTGGGCTTGTGTTAGGTCCGTGGAGGAGGGGGGGGTGTTTGGGAACAGGCGGAGGGGCTGGGAGGCGTGGACTAGACGTTCTCTTCCTTCCCCCTCCTCCGTGGAGCACTCCCACGCTCCGGGACCCGGGGAGGCCACTTACCTGGCGCCAGGGCGCTGGGGCTGCGGGCGCGCTCGGCCTGGGAAGCTGCTGGCTGGGCGTCCTCGGGGACCCCGGGTGAAGTATGGAAGGTGTAGAGTTCAGAGTGGCAGTTCTCCTCCGGGCCGTTGGCAACCTGGGCACAGGGGCGGGCTCTCAGAGGGGTGGGTCGCTGCCCTCGAGCCGCCAGGGGGGGCTTTCTGAGTGTTCCATCTTAGATCAAGTCTAATCGAAATCCTGCTTGCCCAGAGCGCATGACTGTTCCTCAGCCCTCGTGGGAGCCAGAGCCCCTTCCCTCCAAAGCTCGTCGTCCTACCCATTCCACTGTATGTTTTGTATCTGGGCAGAGATGCCTCAAGAGGCTAAGCGCTTTTCTAGGATCACACAGCAAGGCGGGGGCTCAGCCTTCCACTTGGGGACCAGAGGTCCTCACGTGGCTCACTGTTTGGCCTTAGGCTAGCCACTGGCCCTCTCCGGGCCTCAGTTTCCCTGTGAGCACAATGGGGGTCTTACCGCGCGCTGGCTGTCTGCAAGCTCAAAGGTGAATTTCTGCACACGGCGTTGCCTCTTCTGGAAGAGGAGGGATCCTCTGTTGTTACGTAGGGATAGCTCCTCCATCATCAAGTCCTGGGGCACGCTCAGCTTCTTGCCCAGGTCCAGCAAAGGGACTACAGGGAGAGGCCAGGGCAAGCCCTTAAGACCTAACCCGTAGGGTATTCGGAGCCACCTCTAAGGGGACCTCCTCACAGCGCTGACCGTTGTGTATGAGAGTACCTGGCGTCTCCCACACTTGCCAATACTAAGTCTCATTATTCAGTGGACTTGTTGCCCACCTGGTGGGCAGAAATGACACCTCTGAGTTTAATTTGCATGTGTTTGATACTCAGTGAAACTGAGCGCTGTTTCAGGTGTTCTTTGGCCATTTGTATTTCTCCCATGGGTTTCCAGTGTAGCTCTTTGTCCACGGTGGTTGGAGGTTGTGAGAAATGATCAGATTCTAGATATCTTTTAAAGGCAAGCCATGGGTATGGGGCATGAGAGAGAGAGAAATGGAGGCTTTCTGCCTGAGCCACTGGAAAGATAGAGCAGCCACTCCCTGAGACAGGAAGGCTGGAGAAGAAAGCGTGGGGAGAGAGCAGAAGTTTAGCTTTAGACATGTGTTCTTTTACTTTTCAAATAGCCTCTTATTATTATAAAACATCATATATATATATATATGCATTGAAGAGTGTTAGAAAATACAGCTACAAGAGAGAAATATACCCTTTTCTACCACTCAGAAATGGCCACTATTATCACCTTAGTAGATATCCTTTCATATCTTTTCCGATGATTATATATTCAACTATGAGTTTTTAACCAAAATGAAATCACAGCCTACATGCTTTGCAGCTTCTTTTATCAATTAAAGATCTCCACCTTTCCAAGTGGACAATTTTTGTTTTATGTAATGCCTAGTCCACATTCAAAGGCCCTTAATTTTCTTCAAAATTGGTCATAGAAGGCTTGAAGAGCCTTGTAGAAATCCAAGTGGAGAAGCCAAGGAGGGTGGTGGATCTGTGAGTCTTGGTGTTCATGGGAGAAAACTGACCTGAGATAAAAACTGAGGCATCGTGAGCGTGTAAATGGTATTTGTTGTTGTTTTTCAATGAAGAACATGACATTTATTTCTTTTCTTATAGTTAGGAATATAGCAGGTTGGTGGCCTGGGGCTCTCGATATTTAGACTGAGATGAGGAACCAGCCCTGCAGCCTGGAAAGGAGCCCCCAGTGAAGCAGGAGGAAATCTAAAGAGTGTGGTATCCTGGAAACCAAATGATAAAAGCATTTCAGGGAGGGTGGGGTGATCAGCAGAGTCAAATGCTGCTGATGTGTCAAGATGAGGGCTAAATTAACCACAGTATTTAGTAACATGCAGTCACTCCTGGTGATCTTCAGAAAAGCAGTTGCTGTGGAGCATTTGGGTGTGAGAGTCTTATTGGAAAGGATTCAAGAGAAAATGGACAGAGGGACAGTTTAACCACACCACGAGGAAGCCATGAGCCAAATCTAGGATGTGGGACATTCTACAGGGCAACTGGCCTGATTTCTTCAAAGGAGTGAATGACATGAAAAACAGGGAGGGGTGCATTTTAGATTAAAGGAGATTTAAGAGACATAGCAACCAAATAAAAACAATGGCCCTATTTAGGTCCTCAGTAAAACAAACTAGAAAATTGGAGAAAGTTGACTGTGGGACTGGTTGTTAGATAGTATTCAATCAATATTGCTAATTTTGTTCATTTTGCTAATATCTTTGTGGTATGTAAGGAAATGTACTTTTTATTATTTTTGATGCATTCGGAAGTATTGGGGCATAAAATCACATGCTCTTCGCGATTTGCTTTAGATTCCAGGAATAAAAGGGGGACCGTGGGGCTTTGCACTCTCTACCTTTGTGTGTGTTTGGAAATTGGCTGAATAAAATGTTAAAAAGAGAGAAAGAGAGGAAGGGAAGAAAGTAGAGACAGCCGCTTTGAGGAGCTGTGCTCTAAAGGACCATGGCTAGAGGCAGCCGTGGCGTCAAGAGGGATTTGTTGGTTTGTTTTTAAATTTTTTTTATTGTGATAAAATACACATAACAAAATCTATCACCTTAACTACTTTTAAATGTACAGTTCAGTGGTATTAAGTGCATGTTTGTTTTTAAAGAGGGAGAAATAACAGCATGTTTGTTAGCTAACGGGAAAATTTGACAATGCAACTAGAGACAGGGGAGAATGACTGAGGGAGTGTCCTTGAGCAGGAGAGAGGGAAGGGAAGGGCGTGCGGTGCCCAACTAGAAGGGTTGGCTTCACACAGGGGCAAGGAGAGAAAGAAAACTGAGAACGTGGACACAGGGGCAAGCAAGTGGACAGATGTGCAGGGGGAACTTGCAGACATTCTCTTTATGTGACTTGACTTTTCTCAGTGAAAGAAGCAAGGCCATTAGCTGAGGATGAAGATGGGGGAGGAAATAGTGGAGGCTTGAGGGGGTGGCTGCTGAAGTTGTCTAAGAGAACAGTGTGGGAGAGTGAACGGCTCAGGAGATGGACGTGGACACCAGGCAGCACTGGGGCCCTTCAGGGGCTGTGACGCCATTCAGTGGACTCCTACACAGCCTTTTAAAAAAGGAGGTTGATGGTTTTTTTTTCATTCTTTCAGCAAATATAGAGAAATTTTCCTGTTTCTTCTAGGAACAGGAAGAAATCCACTGTTGGTTAAAGGGTGGGGGTGCAGGGGGTGGGAGGGGTAAATTTCAGAAGAATCTGTATTCTAAGGTCCCAATTGTATAGTTTAAACCATAAATATATGTTTGTGCACATATTGCAAAATCTGCAAGGAGACATGCCTGATATTAGCAGTGATGACTTATGGGACATAGGAAGGAGGAGGAGAGCTGGAGATTGTTTGCACTGTTTTAAAATTTTCTTTTAAACAAGAAAATGTACTGCATACTTAAAAAATATAAAAGACTATTTATATGTAAATACGTCATAAAAATTACATATTGCAAAATCTGCAAGGAGACATGCCTGATATTAGCAGTGATGACTTATGGGACATAGGAAGGAGGAGGAGAGCTGGAGATTGTTTGCACTGTTTTAAAATTTTCTTTTAAACAAGAAAATGTACTGCATACTTAAAAAATATAAAAGACTATTTATATGTAAATACGTCATAAAAATTCTCCTGGCATCGTATTCTCAAATCCTATCCAGATGAACTGAGCTTAATATTTAAAGAAAAGAAAAGAGAAAAGCTATAGATAAAACCTATTTGGCTAAGCAATTCTATTTCTAAGCACCCATTCTTGGGGAGAAAAATTGAATAAACATGCCTGAAGATATTTGTACAAGGATGTTTATTGCAGTGAGGTTTCAGTTTGTGGAAACTGGGGACCAGTCTTATGGTGGATGCTGTCCAGATGCCCTTTATCAGTGGCTAACAGTCCACAGCTTCCACCTTCTGCAGAGGACTGCCCAGGTGAGCACAAGTGGTCATGGCCTCCCTGTTGAAGATGGGATGAATTCTAGGGAGCAGTTCATATTCTGGAGGCCTCACAGGGTCAGACTGAGCCTGGGCTACAGCTGAGCCCACATCCTTGCTTAACAATTTCCCCTGCGTACGTCACTTCCCTTCTCCTGAGAGCATGACGTCAATATATCACCTGCTCGAGAATCCTCAGGCTCTGCTCCTAAGGGTCCCAACCTGAGGAGAGCCTTTATGACCACCATCAGGGTGTGTGTGTGTGTGTGTGTGTGTGTGTGTGTGTGTGTGTGTGTGAATATAAATGTATATAACATATTACATGCTGGGGGAGCAAGAGGAGGGGAAGCTGTGAGCTAAATCATACTAGGCTGCCAAGTGTGTGGTATGCTGCTAAGTGAAAAAAAATTTAAGCTGAAGAACACAGTGTATATAGTCTTTAGCCCATGTGTACGTATGTCCATTTATATAAATATACTTATATATGAACAGAAGGATTGACACAAATACGTCAGCAGTGATTATGTCCAGATGCTTCCATTGTGAGGAACTTTCACTTTCAAAGTCATTCATGTTTGTTTTGTCTGAGTATTTTATAAAATGATGTATTATTTGTATAACCACAGAGTAAAGGAGCAGCTCTGGAGACAAAGATCTGGAGTGAAATCTCAGCTCTACCACCTACTAGATGTGTGACCACCTAGTTCTTCTGAGCCTCCATTTTCTCATCTGCAAAATGGGAATAATAATGTCTAACTTACACAGTTGTTGTGAGGGTTATGTTTATGTAACACAAAGCATCAAAGCTCTTAGCACAGTATCTGACTTTGGGTAATGGTCATTATTTTTATTATTATTACTTTACAATGGCTGTCTTTTGATGGTAAGACCATGAGATGATTTTTTCTTTCTACCTTTCTTTAGTTTCAAAATTATCTTTAATTAATGCTCTAGCAATAGTCAACCATTTATATATTTCCAGTCTGGCATAAATGATGTGTGTCAATTTTCAAGAGTTTATAATTAATTAATTACTTAGATGCAAGAAGAGAGAAGGCATTGCCTGATTTCTTCAAGTTAGAGCATCAACACCTTACAAAGTTTGCATATTTCAGCACACAAAGTTTGCATATTTTATATCGTGATATAAAAAAACAAAGAAACTTACTTCCAACAAAAGGAGGCAAGAACACACAGAATAAGTTAAAAGGACAACTCACATATACAGTCATACAACATGATTAAATACTTCTTAGAACTCTGGAGGAGGCAACACTGACTGAAGCAGTGCCCTGAGGCAAGGGATTATCAGAACTTGCTTGGTTCAGGTGCTCGATTCACTGTCCACCTGCATTGGAAGCACCTGGGTGCTTGTCTAAAAGGCAAATGGAATGTCCCCTCCCCAGGTCCACTGAATCAGAATCTTTGGTGTGGACGCTGGGAATTTGTATTTTCTCCAACAATGCCGTGTCCCTATGATTCACACAAAAGTTTGAGAGCCCCGGCTTAGTTGAATTTGTTTTTAAAATACTTGAAATGCTCTAAAGTAGGCCAAATAAACACATTCCAAAATTGTGCCAAGAGTTCCGGAAGAGGTTTTATAAGGTTGATAAACATGTATTTTAGATGATTTATTCATTGGGCGAGTTGGCTTGTAAGTGAAATGGTTTGAGTCAGATTGAATAGCCTGCTTTTACCACCCTGCTCCACAGTCCCCCCACCCTTTTTGTCTCTAGCCGTGGGGGCTGGGTGAGGCCCACAGTGTCCGTCAGTAAGGACAAGTGTGGGGGGAGTTTGGGGCCACAGTTGGGGCTGGATCTGGGACCAGAGCCCACATAGCTCAATTTGGAGCTGAGCTAAGGACTTAACTGAGGCCAGGGCCCGACTCAGGCACTCAACCTCAGCTCCTAGGTGAGAGGACACCAGGGCAAGACCCCTCCCCAAGCTTCAGGAAGCTTCCCAGCCCAGGTGGCAGATTCCACAGGCACTCCCTCCAGGCTGGCCTGGAACTCACACCTGTTTGCCTAGGCCTGGGGACAGCGGGCCTGAGGGGCCACAGTGCGGGACTTAGAAAGGTTGGGGTCTGAGGAATGTCCAAGAGCTGGGTCCACCTTACCTGGTCCAGCGTGGTCCCCCATGGCAGCCATCACTGGCTCCTTCTGCTCCTTGGGGATCATCCTGTGGGGGAATGATCCGCAAATGGGCCAGGCTGCCTCCATTCCTCCTCAGACCTCCTCCCCGTCCTGGGTCCACTCAGCTCCCGCCCTGAACAGCCTTGGCCCACTCCAAAGTCTCAGGCAAGGGTTCTCGGAGCTGGAAGGGCCTTTGAGGTCTCTTCGTACAGAGAAGGAGCCTGTGGCCCAGAGATGGCGAGGAAGATGGTCGATGCTACCATGCAGCTAGAGAAGCACTCCCCTCAGGCTGTATTCTCTGGGATTAGGGGTGGGGAAGGTGGGGGGGTCTCAGACTGTTGTCATGCACTGACTCAGGTAAGGCCTGCTCAGTGGCTGAAAGAAGTTTATGTCAGGGGGAGAGGGGATATGGGTGGATAGGCTGGGGTCACACCGGGATCTGCAAGGCAGGACCTCCCCTTCGGTCCCCAGTACTTGGCCCTGAGGCTTGAGGGCACAGGCTGGTCCAAGGAGGCTGAGAGAATCATCACCCCCTTCCTCTACCCCATCCCTGAGCACTTACATGACGCTCTCTTCTTTTAAAAAAATATATAATTTTTAAAACTTTTCAGTTACCGTTGACATACACTATTATATTAGTTTCAGTTGTACAATGTAGTGATTAGATATTTATATAACTTATGAAGTGATCCCCCCAATAAGTCTAGTACCTTATGGTGCTTTCTTCTTCCTTGCCCCTTCTCTCCCTCCTCCTTCATCCCCCCAGTTGCATCTAACGGCACTTTCTAGGAATTTTGGAGGGGATTTACAAATGATGTCCAGAGACCCAGAGAACCCTGCAGGCACCAAGTCCAGATCCCTTAACTTGCCCCCAAGAGAGAAGGCAGAACCCTTGAGCCCCCTAACCTGATTATGCACCCCGGGCCCCTCTGCTTTGCTTCCAGGTTTTTCTATATTCCTTCCTTAAGAAAACCAATCCACCTCCATCTGTACGCCCCACACCGACTCCCGGCCCAGGTCAGTGGGCCCTGAGCTGGGTGACCTGGAGTCTAATCGGTGTCCCTGACTCCCTCTGCAACCGTGAGCAGCCACTCAGCTCTGTGACTCAGTTCCCCCCTCTGTAACATTGGGCATTGGGCTAGACCATGGGGACCCATGGATGGGCTTCAGGGCATCCACAAGCCCCCTAAAACTGGATGCAGCTAGGACCATGTCTGCATGCGTTTGGGGTGAGGGTCATGAGATGATCAAGAGTGCTCCGCCTGTGACCACTGAGAACTCCACAGTCCACGGGTCTGTTTCTTGATACACACTCCCCTTACAGAAATTCACAGACGTTAGGAAGGGCCCCTCACGCCCCAGACATGGACCCTGCTTCTCTCTACTAACTAAAGACCTTGGAGTCCTGAGCAGAGCCATTACCTATGCCCCATCTTGAATCCTAGCCACACCCTCCCCACTTAACCTAGAGTAACCTAGGGCTTAGAATCCCTCCCTTCCCAACTCAGGATTTAGGTTTCCATGAGGCCCCATGCTCCCCAGACCCTCTGCAGGGCTCTTCCTCTGCTTGGAGGAGAAGGGGCTCTGGGAATTGGCTCATCTCCGCCCACTCCCCACAGCTCCTCAAGCTCCCCTAGAATCCTGGTACCTGAGAGATGGGACCCCAGTGGGCAGAGCAAGGGTCAGACCCTCAAGGTAACACCTTTGTCAGGAAGCTGAGAGCTGAGTGGTCGGTGTCCTTACAGCAGTCGGGCAGTCAGGGAGCAGAGTGCCCTGCAGCCAGCTCTGGCCTCAGCCGTGTCATGGCTCACAGCCTTATTTCGGGCTGCAACAGGATCCAGGGACAGATGCTAAAAGCACCAGGCCCCAGGGAAGACAGGTGCCCCAGCAGCAGGCCCTTGCCAACAGAAGGCTTTGCGCACACACACACACACACACACACACACACACGCGCACACACACACTCATATGCACACTCCAAAGTCACCTGGAAATGCTGAGAGTCAGTCGCCAGTCACTTGAGCTTGCTAATTGTATCCTTAGTGCCTAGAATAGGGCCTGATAGGAATGTAATAGATATTTGTGGAATGAATAGATGGATGATGGATGGATGGATGAATGCATGAATGAACTGTCCTCAGATATCTTTGACTTACTCCTTCCTTCTTTCCTGCCTTCCTTTCTTCCTTGTGCCTCCTTCCTTCTTCTCTCCTTCCTTCCACCTTCTCACATTCTCTGAGCCTCTCCCTACAGACTGAAAATAAATAAGGCGGGACTCTGTGCTCAAGGAGCTCAGCCAGGCCTGAGTGAGACCCGTAAACAAGCCTTTCAGACGCATGATGGGAAATGCTCTGGGAGCGCCCAGGGGAGGGTTGCAACCAGCTCTGCCTGGGGGTGGGGAAGGCTTCCCAGAGGAGGAGACATTTGAGCTGGGCCTTGAAGGATGAGTGGGAGTTCACTGGGCAGAGAGAGGGCACAGGAATTGCAGGCGGAGACCACGTCGTGTATAAGGATGGTAGGGGGTCAACACATAGAGCCAGAATTGGGGGGCGGAGGGGCCATGCTGAGAGAGGAGGCTAGACAGGTGGGCAGGGACCAGATCACAGCAGGCTTTTCAAAAGGCAAGTGTGCTTTATTGTCAATGAAGAGTTTAAAGCGGTGGAATGGAGTGGTCAGATTGGTATTTTCTGAAGATATCTCTGGCTGCCACGTGGAAAATGAGCGGGAGGGACTAGACTGGAGGTAGGACTTCGCTGCGGTCAGGGCGGGACGGGGATGGCTGGACGGGGCAGTGACAGAGGGCATGCAGAGGAGGAGAGAGACTTGAGGGGATACTGGGGGAGTCACCAGGTCCTGGTGAGAGACTGGCTGTGGGAGGTGAGGAGAGGGCCACTCCCATGTCTGGCTTAAGTGACTAATGAAGGTAACGGGAGAAGCAGGTTGGGGTGGGTGGCGGGTGGTGAATACTGAGTTCAGTTTCGGATGAACTTGGCTTGAGGTGTCTGGAGCCGGGGATCAGCAAGAGGCAGGGGCATACTGCGTTCAGGAGAGGTTCCAATTGAAGATAAAGATTGGGTCGGAGGTGCACTAGCCACACCCATGGAAGGGTGGGGCCGGCAGGGATGCGCTGGGTCCAGGGCAGGGAGCACCTGTGCCTGCGTGACGGGACACTGTCCAAGGGGATATTTCTGACACCTTCTTAGGAGGACGCCTGCACTCTGCAGTGGACTTGCACTTAGCTTCCTGGCCCTCAGGTGCCTCTGTCCAGCCTCTTCCAGGCTTGCGCTTTTAGAGAGGAAGGGGAGGGATATTCTCAGGGCAGGCTTGGTTGGCCTCACCTGAAAGTGGGGCCACAATCCTCTTCTCTAGGCGAATGATGCCCTCATCGGGAGAGAAGCACCCCCGATGGTCTGGGTCGAGAGCTCACTAGGGTTGCCTGGACTTGGACATGAGATTCTCCTTCTGCCTGGAGTCCTGGCCTACCAGCTTGGCTCTGCTCTCTCCAGTGACAGTGCCATGTGGTCAGGATCTGGACAATACCACCCTGAGACATCACCTAGCCCAGCTCACTCATGACACAGATGGGGAAACTGAGGCCTGGAGAAGGAATGGGCTTACCCAGTAGATGACAGGGACAGGACTTCAACACAGTGACTTCTTGTATGGCCCAGAATTTTTCTGTTGTTGCCTATCTCTCCTCATAGTTGCTACTTCTCAAGCTCCCATCCCATGTGTGTCAAAAGTTCTCATTCACCCAAAGAAGAAGGGAAGGGCTTTAGATACAGCTGAAAATGACCCAGGAGGCAGAAGAATGCAGGAAGCATTTATTTAGGGCCAGAGCTGATTTCTACAGGAGACAAGAGACACGACATAGGTGATCGCTAAAGGGTTACAGGAGAGGTTTGGGGGAGTAGGCAGTGATAGGAGAGAACAGCCAGAGTTCTAGCTTCTCAAGGCTGCCTCCTGCTGGCTCTTTGTGGAAATGCAGGTAGAAGTAGATATTCTACGCCACTGCCTCAGCCAGTGGCCTAATAGTGTTTCTTCTCTGAAAGGGGCCTTAGCCCCTGTCTTCCATGGTACAAGGGACCCTAAAGCAGGTGAGGACTTTGGTAAATGTGGTCACTCATCATCGACTAATTGGTAGCACCCTCTCGTCTTCCCACCAACAGGGCCTGTATTCCCAATCCTTAGGCCTTAGGAACCCTCTGGGCTCACTTCTTTACTCCAAACCCACTGGCACACTGATTGCCATCCTGATCCCAGCTTTCTTTCTCTAGCCTTACCTAAGGGTTCCAGGTCTAACAACACCCTAATGGGTGGTAAGTCTACCCCTAACCCAAAATCACACTGTCCCTTATCTTTGGCAACATCCTGGCATCCTTTCCCCTACACACCTTTGATCCTCAGTCAATTACAACACACTTCACCCCCCAATCCCTGCATTTAGTATCTGAACCTCTAAAAGGCCCCACCAGCCAACTCTGGAAAACTATAGAACTTAGCCATGTTCCTCCAGGGGATTGGAATCAGAATCATCAAGGTTTAAGGGACGGGCTAGGGCCTGCAGCCAGGCTCCCTAAAGTCACTGGGCACGAGGCACTAGCTAAGCCAGAGAGCAATGGGGAAAAAGATGGGCAGAACCGTGCCCATTCCTCTGGGCATGATCCGGACACTGGGGCCTGTTACTGAAGAGTAAGGTACTTCCTAAGGAAGCAGAAACACAGGCTGACTCTGGTCTAACCCTTCATTCACCCACCCAAGCTCACCTGCCTCTGAATTCTGCTCAGCCAAGCCTCCACTACTATTCTTCCCTCCCTTCCTAATACCATGGAATGCATTTCAGAGGTCATCTGAGCCAAGCCACTCCCTACTAGGATCTCCTCTATGCACTCCGGCCATTGCTTGCATACCCCCCATAACAAGGAACTCTTTGCCTCCCTCTTTCCAAATGGGCAACCTCAAATTCAGGGCCCTCAGGGAAAGCTACAGGATAATAGATAGCTCCATATCAACTCTGAAAGGGCTCCGCTTTGAAAAGGCTGCCATGAAGGGCCCGGAAGAGATAGATGGGTTGGGAGGCACCTATAGCATTCCTGGAGGCCCAAGTCTTGGGCCTGGGGGAAATCATCACCTCACAGCACTCTTCTCTGGCTGCATAGAAGATGCGCTGAGCCATCTGAGCTGGGGTGGGGAAAAGCCTGAGAGGGATCTGGGAGGAGGACTCTTCCTGCTGCTTCTCTCCAGAGGAGCCAGAGGGGCACCTTGAGCTGGCCTGGGAGACCTCTGTAAAGGTCACCATGATAAAAATAGAGCTTGTCTGTGAAGGGATGGAAAACAGCTGCTCCTGCCTGGGCCTTGGTGCCAGGGAGGCGGATGGTCAAGCCAGGGACTGGACGGGGAACTTAGGCCTACGATCTTCTGAACACACCCCTCATTTGCCAGACTGAGAGCAGAGCCAGGAAGGGAGAGAAGAGTATGGCCCCCTGCAAAGCAGCAGGTCCAGGGGTCCATATACACAATGCCCCACCTCTTCCAAGGGGTGTGTGTGTGTGTGTGTGTGTGTGTGTGTGTGTGTGTGTGTGTGTGTGTGTGTGTTGGTGGGAGGGGGTGTTAAGATGTTTGGAGATTGCTTTGGCCAAAGCCCCATTAAACAGATTCGAAAGCTGAGGGTCAGACAACGGAAGTCTTGCCCAGGTTCACCCAACGACTGAATGAGAGAGTTAGGGCTAGAACCTAAGCTTGGATCACTACCACACCCTGAAGCCCAGAGCTCTCCTCCCTGACCCCTTATCTTAGGGGCTGTCCAAAGAGGCCAGACCCCTTGGGGGCTTGGTGCTGGGATCGCCCAAGCCCGATGACTTTTCTTCCGGCTTGGATATCCCGGGGTGAGGATGGGGCGGGGCGGGGGAGGCATTAGGTGGTGCAGGAGGCCTCGGCCGGGAGGCTGCCACGTTTGAGCCTCAGGCTGCCGTTCCACCCGCGGGGACAGATGTTGTAGCCGAGGATGCCGGGCGACTTCGCCCCGGAGTCCTCAGAGTCGAGGGACACGTCGGAGTCCGTGGGCGAGCGGCGGTAGGGGAAGGGCCTGGGCGCCGCAGGCAGCGGGCTGCGGGGGCTGGCGCAGGGGGAGGGCCCGGCCAGCAGCGGGCTCCGCTGGATCGGGGCGAACGTGGCCCCGGGGGCGATGGGGCCGGGGCGGGCGGGCTGCGGCGAGCGCATGCGCGGCGGCGGCGGCGGCGGCGGCGGCGGCGGCGGCACCCCGGGCGGGGAGAAGGGCCGCAAGCTCTCGGCTCCCGCTGGCCGCGGGGAGGCGCTCTTGCGCCGGGCGGCGTTGATGATATTTCGAGCCAGGAGCGCCTGCAGTTGGCGGCTGGGGGGCCGCGCCTCGGTTTCAGGTCGCATCGGGGATTCGGAGCGCTCGCTCCACGAGGGGGACATGGGCGGTGGAGGCGGCGGCGGCAGCGGCGGGGGGCTGCTCATGCTGCTCCCTCGGCCCGGTTCCCATGGTCCCGGGCTCACCCAGCCGTCCAGGCTGCTGGGGGGCCGGGACGCGCCCGGCGTCCAGGGCGGGGAGGTGGGCAGGCTCTCGCGGCGGTCCTGGGGAAAGAGCAGAGAGGGCGAGGGCGGCCATTAGTGCTGGGGTCTTCTATAATGGGGTTTTGGAAGGGACTGAGTCTGATTTGTCCATTGTACAGAGTTGGGTAGCACCTGCAGTAAAACGTAGGTACCCCCAATCTCAGCCTAGATGCTTGAAAAAGCCCACGCTGCCTGCCCCTGCGCTTAACAGGGAGGCAGGTGATGAGTGTTAAGAACTCTCACTTTGGAGACAGACTCCTCTACTAACTGAATGAACCAGGGTAAGTTGCTTCAGCAGCAGTAGCAACTGGAAACCTCTGGACTTCCGTTTCCTCCTCTGCAAAATTGGGGTCTAATACCGGCACGTACCCTATAGGGTTGTTGTGAGGATTAAATGAGATAACTCATGTAAAAGAATATTACATGTATCAGAAGATCCCCTGGAAGAAAGTAAGTGCTCACTAGATGTCAGTTACCATAAAGAAATACTGGAAGAATATCCATGAAACTAACCAAAGTGGTTCTGTTAGGAAATGGGGAGAACAGGACAGGGTACACAGCCACAGGGGTGGGAAAAAGGGCTTTTAATGTATTACTTTTTATGTAACTTTAGGTTTTTTTGACCCATATGGATGTATCTATTCAAAAATTAAAAAACATTGATCATCATTAAGGTTGGACTTAGGCAAAAGGCCGTCTCAGCCCCAGTCCCTTGCCATGTAGCTATGGTAACCTCCTACTTTTTCCTTGGATGCCTTGAGCAGGGAGGAAGTTCCCACTGACAGATGGAAACACAAAAGGAAGTTGGGTCATTCCTCACTAGGCAGCATACTCCCCTCACTGGACTATGTGCCTGCATGGGGCGGGGAGTGTGAACATCTTTGCGGTTATAAAGCACTGCTCTGCTAGACACTGTCATACCTGTTTCCTGCCTACTTAGGGGTTTTCCAGTCTACAAGGTTAAGTCTCATCCTTTATCACTCGTTAGAGCCTCACAACAGACTGGTGGGGTAGCCGGCATTATCACACCCATTTTACAATGAAGAAGGCGAAGTTCAGAGGTGTAAAGAACTAGCCTGTGTATTCTGCCCCACCAGGAAGTGTGTGTGTGTGAAGGTTACATAGTACTTAAGCCATTTGAACTGGTTTGAAAGTGCATCTGCTAAACCACCCAACTATTCATCCAATCAGACCAGCCATAAACCAGTCTACTCAGCCCTCAATGCAGTCCAAACTCACCACCAGTCATCCCTCATCATCTGGAACTCGCCAGTCCATTCAGTGCCTCCTACCTGATCAAAATGTAGAACCATTCATAATGTTCATTATCTCATCCAATCAGTAATCAATCAGCCACAGCCACACCAGTCAGCTTCTCATCCAATCAGAGTCTAATTTTTCCCAATCAAAAGGAACCAACAGACATAAAGTATATGTTTTCTCCAAACAATGCAGCAGTTCCTAGATGAGTCCAGACCCAGAATGTGAGCCCTTTAACCTGAAGAAGAACGCTGTACAGCAGTCTGAACAGATTTTTCATGGGATGGTAATGCTGGAGTGGCCCTGAGGGACCTCCTGGGGACATCCAAGGCCCCAATCAAGTAGGAAAGTTAAAGCTCAGCATGGGATCTATCCCCTTTGACTCCCAGGGTCAGAGCTGTGTAGAGGCCAGCCAGAGACACTGGGAGCTGCTCTGTCTGTGCGGCATCCCAGGAAGCTTTCGGTCAGCCCAGCTGTGGGAAGTGGGGCCAGAAGTTCATGATCAAAGCCTGTCAACATGCACCGAGGCAGCGTAACCAGGCAGAGTAACCAGGGCTGGGGCAGCGGGAGCTGTGATACCTGAGACCTCTCAGGGTTGTCTCGGCCCTTGGTGGCTACAAGGAGAAGGCAAGGGCCAGCAAGTGGAAGGAGTAACAGGGTTTACTTTCTCAAGCCTGGATTGAATGTTAAGGGCCGTGGTGAGCAGCTCCCCATCCTTTGGTGGTGGGCCAGAGCCTGACTTCATCGGAACTGCCATGGCTGGATACCGACTGTGTGTGTGCAGGGGAGGAAGTGGGGTGCACCATTCAAAACGGCTGTGGGAAATCAGAACTGTTCCCTTTCTGACAAAGATCTCAATGCACTGTATGCATGAGAACTCTTTGGAAATACACATGGGTGGAATTTCAGAAGGCCGCACCCACTTAACTCAGCACCAGCCCCAGAGAAGGGCACGTGTGTGGAGTAAAGGCATGAGTAGAGCAGAGTCAGACAGAAACTGTCAAAGACCCATCAGCTAGCTTCCTGACCACCTTATGGAATCCTTTATGGCATGGAAGGGAAAACTGAGGCCCAGAGCTGGGAAGAAGTTGTCTAAGGTCACATGAGGAGTCAGGCGCGGATCCGGGACTAAAACTCAGTTCTTCTGACTCTCAATGGCAGTTTGTTGCTCTCCACCAGGGGCAGAAACTCAGTGCTTTCAGGAGACAGGCAGGGACGAACATGGGAAATGGCCAGCTTTAGATAGTAGGGAGAGGAGGCGGGTACCCGAGGAAACTGGAAAGGGGATGCTCTGGCTAACGGCATTTAAATTCCACATGTAAAGAACTCAAACCTTGACCACCAAAGGTTGTGGGCTATCCCCATGCTCCCGAGCCTTTTTGGCCAAACTCCGACGGAGAAACCAGAACATGATTTCCACAGGATTCTGGTTCCTGGCGAAGAAAGGGCAGCCCTCCCTCCCGAGCCAGCACACACCTGTACCCACTGCTGATCCAGACACACGGCAGATACAGGCAGCACCGGAGACGCACCACACGTTCACACACAATAACTGAGCAGTCCTACCCTCCTTCCCAGGCCAGAATCAGGGAGGAAGAGGAGCCGGGACCACCGTTCAGCGAGCGCGAAAGAAAGAAAGAAGCAAGACAGATTTGAGGCAGAGTGTATTGAGAACAGGAGAGAAAACAAAGTTGGGGAAGGGCTCTGCCAGCCTGGCTGCAGGAGTTGCAGGATGGATAGTGGGCTCTTCCCTTGCTGGCCCTCAAGAATTTAAGTGAGCAGTGGTTTAGGGGCAGGGGCTTCGCTCTGTCCTGGGAGGCGCCTGGCATGAAGGAGCTGAGCTCACTCATGATTCCCCCACATATGCCCCTGTGTTCTGGGCAGAATGAACTCACTGGGAAGCCACCCCCGTTCCCATGGAGATGAGCCTGGAGCTCACGAAAACTGCAGGCTCAGCCCAGCATGGGCACCGCCTCCATCACCCCTCTTCCCACTGGGGAGCCCAGAAATAGGGCTGGGAAAGAGATAGTGGGTGGTGCTCGGGCCCCAGCCTTGGGAAGCTTCCATCTGAATTCTGCCTCTTGTGTCTGTATTCTCTCACCCCCACAAAGCCTGGTTTTGGGGGGCTGCTACACATCAAAGGTGTCAGAGTTGGTGAGGCTCTCAGACTATCTGACTCAACAACATCACTGTACTACGAATGGAAAAACTGAGACCCGAATATGCACCTGGAGTCAGTCTCTTACTCCCAACCTTTTCCTCAAAACCTTAAGGTCTCCTCCGTCCCGTCCCACTGAGCTGCTCTGCTCCTGCCCCAGCGCTTGCCACGCCCCCGCTGTCTCTAGGCAATGCTGTGCCTTAGCCACCCCAGCCCAAGCCTCTGATCCCCTGGCTCCTACAGCAGCTCATTCCAGCTACACCTTCCCCAGGATGCCCTTGCGGACATCTAATCTGCATCTGTCCTATGGCAACTGCCCATTTCCTTCCCCTCTCTTCCCAGGGGACTGTCATCACATACAAGGCCTTTCTCCCAAAGCACCAGCCTATCCTCTCAATCCTCACAAACTCTCATGGGTGTTAGGGTCCCTATTGTTTAAATAAGAAAACTGAGGTCCAGAAAGGGAAAGTGACTTGGCCAACGTCACACAGCAAATGGGAGGCTGAGGTGGGACCAGAACCCTCCTCTCCTGCGGCCCCTTCCATTGTAGGGAGGTGGCTACTTTATTTATTTATTTTTAGCTGAGCCATCCTGCCACCTGTTGGCAGCTCAGCAGCAATTCAGCTCGGGCGAACTCGAACCGCTGTTGCTCAGAGCTCAAACCCTTGAGCCGAGCTCTTAACCAACTGAGCCACTCAGCCAGCCCTGGGGATGGCTGCTTTAAATCAGGCAGATCGTGGCTGAGGTTGAAGCCAAAACAGCCAATGGATACATGGCTAGGGGACTCTCTCCTTGCTGCACACCCACATCTGCACATCCTCCTACAGAGCTCTGCTTCTGTCAGGGATCCCCTGGGACCCCACCCCCAGCCCAGAACACTGAGGGCAAGCCAGGTGGAACCAGGACGGAGGTCTGAGATGAACTGTTTTAGCTGTCCCAAAAGTGGAGCCAGGTGTTTGGAGAGGGCTTGGAGGCAGCTGAGCAGCAGGGCAGGGAAAGCGTCAGGCAGCAGTGGTGGGCTAAGTCCTCATCCAGCAGAAGAGCCCAGGAGAGAAAATGTGGAGGCCGAGGCAAAGCTCTCTGAAGCAGAGGAGAGGAAACGGTGTCCAGAAGGCAGAGGTGGAAAAGACAGACCCGTGGAGGTGAGAATCCAGCAACAGGCAAGAAAGATGCCAGGAGCTGAGGCCACAATGAGGGCGGCCACACTGGGGAAGCTGAGGAGGCAGCCCCTTGACTGGCTGGTTCCACAGACACTGGCAGGCTCTTTGCTCTAGAAGCCCCTGCGAGGGCCCCCTTCTAGGCCATTCCCCAGCAAGACGCTGGCATCCCTACAGCTCACAAAGGCCAAAGGAACCTCCAGCCTCAATCAGGGACCGCCAAGGGAGTTCTCTCTCCATGACTCTCCTCCCCACACAGTAGCAGACTTCACATCTCTCAGACATGGAGTTCCCTCGTGGTAGGGAACAGGCAGCTGCCACTCAGAGAGGGGAGGTGATGCTTAACATCACAAAGCTAGCCGGTAGCAGCATCAGCCCTTGAGCCCTGAGTCCATACTCCTGACTCTCAGCCCTGTGACACTTCTGCCGTATCTGCGCTCCCTCCTGCCCTCCGAGAGGGGGCCCTCACAGGCAGTGGGATCCCTGTGGGGTCCGTTACTTGAAGCAGAAGGAAGGCTTCCACACCTGAGCCTCGATCCCAGCATTCCGGGTGGAGAAGGAGGGCCTGGGGGCCTGCTTGGCTCGGGGGGACCAGGCCCTGGAGGGAGACACAGGGGAGATATCACTGCTATAGGTAGGGCTCATGGTAGTGGGCTGGAGGCCATCCTGGCCAGGGGCCGTGTAGAGGCCTGGTGAGGATCGGGAGGGCCGAGACAGGGCAGGTGACCGAGGGAGGGTCGCCTTGGGCAGGCTGGGCGTCAGGTCCAGGGAGCTCGGCTTGGCGGGCGAGGTGGCTCTTGGAGTGGCCTTGGCAGGTTCCTTGATGGGAGAGAGGACAAAGAGCGAGGGCCGCAGCTGGTACGGTGGCTGCGGCTGCTTGGTGGGCTCTGGGCGCAGGACTCCATTCTCAGGCAGGTAGCCGTGGTAGAGGGAGGCAGGCGGGGTCCGAGCCGGGCTTCGGGACGCCACTCGGAGGCTGCCAGGGGCATTTGTGGAGTACTTCCAGGACGAAGGCAGGGACATAGTGGGTGAAGGGCAGCGGGCCAGGTCGGTGTGGCCCGAAGACTCGATGACATACTTCTCCATGCGGGACTGGCGGCGAGCGTAGAGCTCAGCCCCTTTCCCAGAGGCCTCAGACAGGTTCTGGTTGGGTTTGGGCTTTGGCTTGGCCTGGATGCGTGGGGACTTGAGGCAGGAGGCCCACTCGGGAAGAACATCCTCGGCCGCGGCGGGGCTGGCCCTGTCCCGGGGCGCGGGCTCCTGCTGGAAGTTGGAGGCCTCAGCTCCCAGTGCAAAGGGCTCCTCCTCCACACCAGCCTCTCCCTGGTCCCTCTGTCTCCGCTTCTCATCAGCCGTCTGTACCAGATCCAGCAGGTCTGGATTCGGGGTCACCTTGGGCTTCTCCACGAAGGTGAACATGGATTTCCGGCTGCTTCTTCGGGCCATCGACTCCTCCAAAATGCCTGTCTTGCTGGTGGGAACTCCCTGACCCTTCAGATGGGAAGGTTTAGGGTCAGAGCTGGGGTACAGGGCAGAGTAAGAGGGGGGAGACCTAATCCGGGAAGCCACGGGGGCTGTGGACAAGGTCTCGGCATAGGTAGGGGGTGGGGTGAAGTTCCCCAAAGGGCGTCTCTCCAAGGCAGGGCTTCGCTGTGCCACAGGCCTCCTCTCCACCATGGGGCTGTGGGACATTACATGTCTTTGTGGTCGAGGGCTCCTGTCCACCATGCTGTGGGTCTGGGGAGCTGGGGCCATCCCCCCGAGATGTCGTCTCTCTACCATGGGGCTCCGCTCCACCTGGCTGGTATTCCCTGATGCCTGGATCCCAAAGGGCCTGGCCGTCCTGTTGACCACAGATGGGGGCTTGGCCAGCGTGAGGTGGACCTCGCTGTACAGCTTGGTGGGTGTGGTGGCGACTGTCTGCCCAGACGTCTCTTGTTCTGCTGATGCTGCTGGGGCACTGGGCTGGACATCGATGGGCGGGGAGCTGGACATGAAATCTGGGGCTGGGGGCCCAGAACTAGAGATGGGAGTCGCTTCTCTGGAGAAGGTGGTGGTCGGTGGAGCTGATACCTTCTCGAGTAGGAGCGTGCTGGGTCTCGCCTCCACCGCCAGCTCCTGGGACTGCCCGTCAGCACACAGCGTGCTGGGCTTGGAATCTGGCACTATGTCATTTGGTGGGAGCTGTGCCTCTGAAGTATTCTGTTGGATGCTAGAAAGCGGCAGGCTCTGAGAAGCGACAGTTGCCGGTGGGTTCTGATTAACATCTGTGGCTGGCAGGTTGTGGCTGCTGTTAGAAGCTGGTGCAATGAGTGTGGCACTGGGTGAGGGAAGGTTTTGGTTGACATCTGCAGTTGGGCTGTGGACCTCAGCCGGAGGCAGGGTTGGTGGGGTCTGCTGGGCTTCTCGGTTCTGGGACAGGTGAAGCCCATTGGCCATCAGCAGGGCTGCGTTCTCCTTTAAATAAACCACCAGTGGTACCTCCTCCTCCTCACTGGCCACCTTCTCCAGGTGCCGCAACAAACTGGCTTCCTCTGAGCACCCCTCCATGCTGTGACCAGAGACCCCTAGGTCAGGACTCTGGCAGTCAGGGTTCCTTGGAGGGCTGGGCTCGGGAAGTGAGTTGGGACTCAGGCTGAACCCCCGGGCATGGCCTGTGGGGCTGGCAGGGGGCACTCTGAGGGACTCCTGGCTGGACTTCTGTCCCCTCCGGCCGTGGCTTTCCAAGGTAAACTCATTCACCCTCTGTCGGCGCCTATTGAAGAGCTGGACACCGCGGGAGTTGGAGCTGGGAGGGGTGGTCAGCTGGGCTGCGATCTGCTGGCTCCGAGCCTTGGCCTCTTTCAGATCCTTCTCGGTGAGGCTAGTGCTCCGGCCCAAAGCTGCAGGGAGGGACAGGGGCCCGGTTAGCAAATGGGAATGTAGAGCCATGGGGTTACACAGACAGTCAGATGGTCACCGTGCCCCCTCCTACAGATGATCTGTTCCTCTGCATTTGATCTTTACTCACTGTTTCCTAGAATCCCCGCTACTCCTAAGGATCCCCGACCCAACCATCATGGCCCAACTCAAGTGCCACCACCTTTGTAAAACCTTCCCTGATGACCCTTTCAGGATTAACTGGCCCCTCATTAGGATTCCCCTGAAGGTTGCTGATATAGCACGTTACCAAACTTAGGAAGAACACCTCATCTTAGCAGTCTAGGCTCCACACATCACTGACTCCTCTCTCACTAGGCTCTGCCCTGCTGGTTTTCTTCCTGTTCCTTGAAAATGACAAGTTTGTTCCTGCCCCAGGGCCTTTGCACTTGTTGTTCCCTCTGTTTGGAACAGTTGGCATTCCATGTTGGTTCCTTCTTGCTACTCAGGACTCACTTGAATGTCACCTCTCTGGAGGGGACTTCCTCTGTAATCAGCCCTCTCCTTTCCTATCCCATGTCTTTGTTTTATTTTCTTTGTGGCGTTTACCACAATTCTGAATTAACTTCTTTATACATTTCCTTGTTTATCATCTGTCTCCCCACCCAGAACATAAGCTCTAAGAGGGCAATGGCCTTGTTTGATTTGTTCAGCACTCAAACCCTGGCCCTTAGAATAGTGCCTGGCATAAAGTGGGCACTCAGTAAGCATGAATGAATCCCCAGGACATTTTCTATGCGTCTTTCTTAGGGCCCTTTACACTTTCAAACTCATAATATAGTCATTTGCTAACACTAACACTTCCTCTTTTTAGAATAGGTGGTCTCAAAAATAAAATAAAGCAAAAAGGTATACAGTGAAAAATGTCCCTCCAACCCTTAGCTCCCCACACCACAAATCAGGTTAGAAGAGTTATTAGTTTTTTTTCTATGTCCTTGCAGAATTTCTTACCATTGTTATTTAAACAATCATTTTTAAATTCTCATATTTTAATAAAATATGAATAAATATGAATATGAATAAAATAATAATAAAAGTAATAAACTGGGCTAATTTCAGCAGCAATTATACGAGAACATTGCATTCCTTCATTTTATTCTCACAAGAACACTAGGAGAGGAGCATTATTCGCCCCTGTCTTACAGAAGCAGAAAATGAGGTTGAGACTTGTAAATAACTCACCCAAATTCACACAGCAAAGGGTGGCAAAGCTAGAGTCAGAACCAGTTCTCTTTGGGTTCACATCCCATGCTCACGCTGCCTGCTTAACCCAAAAGCTCCCTTTGGGACATACATGGGACAGAGTCCGTGGGGGTCAGAGTTCATTCAGTCTGGGGCTGGAGTCTGGGGCCTGCGGTCAGGGATCAGGCTGGGGGCAGACCCCTATTAACATGTAAGTTCACCGTAGGCAGCCATTTCTCTTTATATCCCCAGTGCCCAGCTGGCACACAGTCGGTGCTCAATTTATGCTTATTGAACAATGACTAGACAAATGGAAACATGAACAAACTGACCGATGGACAGATGGAGGGGGCAAGCCGTGGCCAGGGTTAGCAGCTCACTCAGTGGCTGGGAAAATTCCTCCCTCCGTCCCTCCCTTGTGCCCCCACTGTGGGAAGCTAATTAGTTCTTGAGGAATCTGACCTTGCTCTCCCTCCTCCGTCACCCTCACCCTCGTTAGCACTGGCCATGACATGCAGAGTGAGTCTCCAGGGACAATCTTTCTAGGCATCCTGCCAGGGAGGCTCAGGACTCATGGCCTCTCAGAGCTGGAAAGCCCCTGGTAAAGGAGTGATTTCACCACCACTCACATTTTACAGATGCGGAAACTGAGGTCCAGAAAGTGGCACAAGGTAGAGCTCCCACCAGGGTCAGCAGGGAGGCCACACAGAGCCGAGTGGCTGCAGGCAGCAGTTTCACTGGCCCCGGGCCCAGCAGTCACAGGCTCTCTGGCCCCAACCTCCTTCTTTCTTCTTCCCATCAGGACCTGGCTCCCTCACCCCCAAATACACACACACCTGTGCCCACCTGTCCAGAACAGGGAGAGCACACGGCCTGCCCCACGTGCTGCTGACACCTGCCCCCTCCGGGTGGGGCTCCTCTCTTGCCTCGATCACCCCATCTATAAAAGATGAAGGGTTTGGGGGTTTGGCCAGCCTGCTCAGCTAGGGGGCGCTTAGGTAGGGGGAAGGAAGTCCCTCAGGAGGGCCCTGAGAGGTGCTCGGCTCATGCAGTGTCATCTCCTCCGCTCTGCTTAGAAACCAGGCCTCCTGGCCCAAATCTGGGCTCTGCCATTTACTAGCTGTATGACCTTGGCAAGTCACTGGACCTTTCAGACTCAGCTTCCTTAACTGAGAAGGTGATAAAAGCCCTGATGTTAGGGATGGGAGGCCACAAGGAGCTCACGGATGCCACGGGGGCTTATTGTCATCAAGCCCAGGTGCGTAGGGAAGACGGCTCATGCTGCCCTGGGATGAGCTGGCACTGGTGACCCCACTTTACTCCCTGGAAGGGGTCAGAGCTTCTGCTAGCGAAGGAGGTTCGCTCCACAGATTGGGGTCCTGAGAGGAGAGGTTGATGCTTTTAAGGCCACACAGCAGGGGGTTCCAGAGTTCTGGGGTGGGGGACAGGGATTACTGACCCAAATCACAGAACCTCAGTGTCTCAGAGATGGCTGTCACTGGGTCCAATTCCTGTGACCCTAAAACCATGCCCCTGAGGGTCTAAGCCTCTGTTTGCACACTCAGTGGACAAGGCGCTCACTTCCCTGAAGAGGTGCCTTCCACTAGGAAACATTCATCAGCTATAAAGTGGCTCTTTACATTAACCTCCACCTCTCGAAGTGGTTCTGCCCCTACTGCCACACAGAGAAAAAGCTTCCTTTCTCTAGCCTGACAGCCCTGCAGAGATTCATAGACACAAAGCACATCCCCATGGGGCATGGTCAGGATAAACATCCCTAGTCCCACCAATGTTTCTTATGACACACTGCAGCCATCGCAGCTAACAATGGCTTCTTGCTGTGTGCCCAGACATGTGCCTTATGCATATTGTCTTATTCGATTCCCATGACAACCCACCCTATGAAGCACAAACTATTATTATCCACTTTTCAGTGATGAGAAAACCAAGGCTCAGAGAGGTAAAGTGAGCTGCCTAAGGTCACAGAGCCAGAAGGTAGTGGAGCTGGCTCACCCCTGGCTCTGCGTGACTCTTAGAGAGCCCCAACCTTTCCAGCTAGCAGGTTCCCACAGTGCGAGGCTCATAGAAAGTGCTTCCGTGTTTGAATAATCCAGAACTCTGAATGTCCCTGCACTTCTCTGTTTCTCCTCACTTCTCTGTTTTAGTCCTATTCCCAGGCTGGTTCTAAAGGCCATGGGTTTAGAAAATGCTCAAATGGCAGAGCATGAAGGCCCTCAGGGATAAGCTGGCGTGGGAGGCTTAGAGAAGAAAGAGTCACAAGAGGAGGCTGTGGGCCTGGGTCCCGTCTGCTGACCCCCAGCTGGGCTTGGAGCCTTCCCCATGCTGCTGTTTTGGGACCAGAGGCACATGGCAGAAAAGGCCAGGGGAGAGAGAGTCTTTGCCCCTGATGAAGCTCCTGTGCCCTCCACCCCAGCCTGCAGTGACTCCTCGGAAAAGGAATTTGGCAGGAGGCTTGGACCAGACCCAGCCAGCAATCCAGACCATTGTTGCCACCCTGCATAAACAAAGCTGAGACAAGAGGGGCTGGGCAAACCACAGGCACTCCAGAGTTCCCCACTGCAGGACACCAGGGGAGGCAGTTCCATCCAAAATCCCCCAGACGAGGGAACTGCCACCCCTGGAAATGCCCCAGCCAGCGAGTCCAAGATTGTGCTCCCTGGTGTCAGAGAGGCAGGAAGTGGCCAAAGGCCACAGGGGACAGGAACCCCGCTGAGCCCCCCGTATTCCTGGCTGCAGCCTACACCTGTGAAAGTTATAACACACCCCTGTTCTCTAAGCCACTGCAGGGCCAGGTTGGGGTACTGGCCCTTGAAAGACCCACCCTGGACAATGGATCAGGAGCTCTGAAAACAGGCCTTCAGGAGAGGTAGGGGTGAGGGCAGGGACAAGGAAGAGCTGCCCAGGGACAGGAGACCAGGATCCAACAGGATTAAATCCCTAAGTGGGGTGAGGTGTGTGTGTGTGTGGGGGGAGGGCGGACAGGAAGCTCTGAGTGGCGTTAGAATAAGGTTGCAATGGCTGCTATAATTATAGAGCCCTTACTACAGCTCAGGTGCTGTGCTATGTGCTTTATACTCATCATCTTTTTTGATCCTCCCAACAACCCCCAGAGATAACTGTTATTCTTCCCAGTTTGCAGATGAAGCCAGAGCTCAGAGACCTGACCAGGGTCATACAACTTACAAGTAGTAGAGCTGGGATTCAAAACTCAAAGTCTGGGGCCAGCCGGGTGGCGCGATGGTTAAGATCCCACATATGAGGGCCAGTGACACTGCCCTCCACAGCTAAGATGCTGTACAACAGCTCAACCTGGAGCTGGGCTGCTGTGAGTCGCCAGCGACAGCGTAGGCTGCAGCCCCTGTGGCAGTGGGTTGTCATGGGCTACCGTATGTAGCCAGCAGCCAGCCAGCGTGAGCGGCCAGCAGCCGCAGTGAGCAGCCATCCAGAAGCCGGTGACTGATCTGCCTCACCCGGGAAGAGCGCAATGATGGTGCCAACTTGGGCCAGTGAAGCAACATCCTCCACAACTAGACTGAAGAACAAAAGGACAGCAACTTGTCTGTTCCCCTTTCCCCAATTCCCCAGCACTGTTCCCATCCCCGCAGTTCCCCAATAAAAATCTAAAAAAACACCAAAAAAAAAAAAAACACCAAAAAAACCCAAAACTCAAAGTCTGGTTGCTGAGTCTCATTTCTTAACCACTCTGCTTTCCAGACCCTGACTCGAGGGCGGGGCACCAACAGAGGCTCCAGTGCTCCTG